TTTAAACATACTTTTTTATGTAGTACGGTTGCAAACCAGCTATCGGATTACCCAATGCTATGTAATCGGCACCATCCTTCGATATCCGCAACATCAGATCATTGCAAGTGCGTTGCGTATAGTAGTAGATAGGTAGTAGTAGGGGATAAGGGAATTTTATCACTTAGGGACGGAATGGGTTGGGCGAAACACAACTCTTTTTTTTGGGAGCGTCAGACTGGAGTCTCTTACTAAAAACACCACCGTTCCTTCTCCTGTTTAAGGCCGCAGTGCTACACATGCCCTGCAACCCCGGCGAAACACAACCCTGTGGTTGTTTCACACTGAGTTCGTGGTATAATTTCGGTTGAGACGGCCCACTGGCGCTCTCCTACTAATGGTCTAGAATTGCGAGCGTCCATGGGCCCTGATTGCTAATCAGGTGACCCGCGTATTGGCTTGCTCTTACACAATAAAAAAAATACAAATATAATTGATTTATTGTGCTTACTTCAGGCCGTAAATAATTTTCAAGTTGAGATCATCTCATTTTTGCACGAACAAGATTTTAATGTACTTATATTGTCGTATTGTGGCATTTGCTTATAAAATTTAATTTCATAGATTTGAATTAAATATTAGATCTATCGGGTATGTTGTCTGCAAAAATTTTAAAACTGTTTTCTATTACGTGTATAAGTGTGGATCTGTGTAAATACTGAAATACGGCACGAATGGGTCAGAGGCTTGATCGGAGTGAGACACAGAAAACCCACGTGAAACAACCGCAGCGTTGTGTTTCTGTGTGAGATTACCGGAGGCCCAATTTTTTCCCTCCCCCAATCCCAAAATCTCCAAATCTCTGATCCCCAAAAGTTCGGCAACGCACTAGTAAATCCCCCTTTGTCACGTGTGTCTATGGGCGGAGCTGATTGCTAACCATCAGGTAATTTGAAAGCTCTTTTGCAGTCATATTACATACAAAATAGGATAGAGTTCATGTTACCCTTTTTTGTAGTGGCAATATCATCAAATGACTCCTTTCGACTCTTATTAGCTAAATATCAACCCGTTTAAACTCCTCCTACGAGTCCGGCCGCGGTATGTCATTGCACTTAGCATACAACCCCGGCTGGCACTGGAAATGTTACCCTTACCTTGTATCTCTATAATAAAAAGAATGAAATTATAAAAATAAAATGAAATATGATATAATGGTAGTTATTACTTATTGGTCCAAAATTATCATTATCATTTTTAATGTTAGTAGATAATGCTCACCGTTTGAGGTTTTTCAGTAGGTATAGTTACCTGTAAATATTAAAAAAAAAGTTTTTTATAATAAATTAAGCAGGTATAGTCCAAGTACATCTCTAATTAGAATTTTACCTTTTAATAGTGATAATTAAATTTTATTTATATTGACCATAATAGTACATTTGAAATGACCGAGAATGTATAGGTATATAGACTGTCACAAATTTCTGCCTTCTACTCAAATTTCACAACATTTTTTAAATTATGTTTTTATTTTTTTATATATAATTTTATATATTCTCTAGGATTTGCCCGCGACTCCGTTGGCGTAGAATACTTACTTCTTGCAGATTTTTGATATAAAAACTATCCTACGTCTTTTCTCGAGTTCCAAACTATGTCTGTACCAAACTTCACAGAAATCGGTTCAATAGTTTAGGCGTGAAGAAAAGACAAACAGACAGAGTTACTGTCGCATTTATAATTATAAGTTTGGATAATATTCATTATTTAGTATAAAATAAAAAAGAATTAATAATTATTTCCTATACTTACTTCAGCATCAATTTTCGGCTGATCCGGTCCATAATACTATAAATGACATAAATAATAAATATTGAACTGACAAGGATATTTCGTGTATTGAATGAAAAACTACCTACAATATAAGGAAACATATATTGAAGACAGAAAAAAGAAAACACTTTTAACAACACTTATTATCAACTATTCGTATAAGATAACATGGAAATCAATGTAAACTATCCAAAACCAATTACTTTCAAAACAAGACAATTATAAATTTTATAGATTTTTAATATTTCTTGTTACTAGAATATAAAAAATGTATTATTAGTGAATTGTAAAACAAATATTTTTTTAAAAAGAGTAACGATGGATTCTTGCTCGTTCTTCTCCATTCGAAACTACAATTTGGAACGAGCACCTAGCTTCACTAATGAACAGACTGACAGACTTCTATTCTATTTTGACGTTTCAAAAGTACCTATTTATGGTTTAGTTAGTTAGAATAAATGATTTTGATTTGATTTGATTTGATAGAATTAAATGTAAGATGTAGACTAAGTAATAGCATTATGTGCAAACTTTTGTAGTTTATGAATGCTATGTACATATATCAATGTAGGTATTAACATCGATTCCCGCGTACATATCTACTCAACATAGAATCAAACATTGGATTAAGTCTTTTCAAATTCGACGGAATGTAGATTTTTCACAGAGATAAAATAAAATAATTATTCTTACCTTAATTCGCTGCGAATATCATACAAAATAAACCGATCATGAGTTCACTGTTTAAACATTGCCACTGATTGTTGCGCGCGGTGCCAATTAATCTATTTGCTCGGACAAACATACGTATGGACGGACTATTATGTTAATGTGCAGGAATAACGGATGCTTACCGCTAAAGATTTAATTGGGTTCCATGTTTGTGGGTTTTGCTGTAATTAACAACATAAAATATGATAAAATTAAACCAAAGAGTTTTTTGTGATACAGTGAATAACTCTATCTGTCTGTCTGGCTTTTCTTCACGTCTATACTACAGAACCTATTTGTGTGAAATTTGGTACAGGCATAGTTGGGAAGTTGAGAAAGGACATGGGATAGTTTTTAAACCAATAATTTTCAGAAGTCTATATTTCACGCGGGCGAAGTCGCGGACAGAAGCTAGTTTGATTATATTTTTTATTAGATGGGTCATTGTCTGGCCAACTCGTAAGTTATGATGTAGCCTACGATAGAGCATGTCTATCAATGGAAGAAATGTAGACTTTGACAAAGAATACAACTGCTAAGCTGTTTATTGAAAATAAGGAATTATTCACGTGATTTAACTGAAAAAACTCTACTAGATACTAGCAGTTGGCTGCGACGCGCAACGCGGACGCTGCTCATGAGTAACAGTCCCGTTGTGACTTGAAGCTAGTAGGGCTTTTCTCAATTAATTAGCGTAAGTAAGTCCATTTCATTTAGTTACTATTAAAAAATTGCTAAGCTGCTCTCATAAAAAAAAAAAAGTTACTATAATAACTTATGATGAAATGCTTCATCGAGTATCCAGCAACAATATTGTTTTACATTCCTAACACCATTTTTGGGAAGTAAGGTTCAATCCGATACACACTACCACTACACAAATAGTCAGCCTGATATCTCCTTAAATCTGCACTACAATCTAATGGTTTACACCAACCCTAAAACATGCTTATGGTTTTAGTATTTTTCAATACTACATTCACCGTAAAATTAATAGATATGATATTAAGAAATTATGCACACATATGATGAAGAAGAATGAGATGAATTATAGAGCTTTTATTATCAAATGACTTCTACTGCCCTGGATGGGGCGTGAGGGAGGGTCAGATTCTTAATGACTAAAAACCTCCTCATTCCTGTTTCTGCGTCAGGCAAAAGCCACAGTCCATTATTGCGCTTACTCGACCACTGACTAGGTGCGAAGTTTCGTTATGTCAAAAAAACCTTAAATGAAATGAATCCTTAAAAAATTTAAATTATTGAACTCTGTTAGTATATTAATATACATATAGTAGAGAGCTAATCAACAACATATTCGCGTTCATATATTATAAATTCTATGTTAAAGTCCTTGACAAAGTTTCGATCCTGCATAACTATTTAGCTGTTTGAATGATTAATACAATTATGCTCGCTCGTGTTAATTTGTATCAAACTGAATAATGTGTTCCTAAACTTATGTTGAAAATATGTTGCTCTTTTAGTTAATGTAAAATAATTGAATAACAATGTTATCTAACCCAATAGTTCAATAAATAACATTAAAATACAACATATTTAGGATGGTCTTCTGAAATATGTTCGTAGAAAAATTTCACAATTTACGAAAGGTGTATTAACAATAAAACAAATGAATCCCATAAATGCATTTATTGATAGTTGTCGTATAAAAATTCTTTTACGGTATCTGCAACAGTTTCACCAAAAACGCGTTTGATATCGGCATCAGATTTGATGAGGCGAGTTGGTTCGTTTTCACTCTTCTTGGTGAAAATTTTACCATGCTTTATCCAAACGAATTTCCAATCATGGTCATTGGCAGCTTGGTGAGTGCGGTGGAATAGTTTTTTGACTGATTGAGTGAGTCTTTCCCTTATAACAACAGTCGTGTTGGGACCTTGTCGCAGTCTTGCACTTCTCACCAGTTGGTCACGTATGTTGCTATTTGCTAGTCGTACTACTATAGGACGTCCTAGAAGTTCTTTATTTGGTATTTCTGCCAATTCATCTACAGGTCCTTTGCGCTCTGCAAATACTATGTCTCGATATTCAATATCAGTGCCCATGTTCTTCGCCACTGACATAACGACGTTAATTAAGTTTTCATTTGGTGTTTCAGGAACGTTAAAGATTTCTAAATCAGTTATTTGGGATTCCTGCTGTTGTCTTTCAATCTTCTTTTGCAATTGTTTCACTTTTTTTTGAAGATGATCAATCACATCAATTGATATAGTCTGATTATTATTAGGTAAAGTTTTTTTAGGCTCGTCCAAACGATTCGATAGATTGTCAACTTTCTCTTTGTAGAGTGCGACTAAGTTTTGGAGCGTCTCAATTTCAGAGCGTAATTTTTGTGTTTCTCTTTTATATTCATTCCTAATACTTTCTATGTATGGTGCCCATGGGTTTGTTTGTGGTTCAGATTCGGATAAAAGGGCCGGACTGACGACCGGACGGACTGCCGGATGAAATACCGGACGAATGGTAGATAGCTCCTCTTGGGCACGTGGACTCATATCCGCCTTGTTGTCCTTATAATTGTTATTGTCCTTGTGATTGAGATCATCCACGAGTTCATCGAATGTTAGAAACTGTTGGGAGAGCCATAATAGTTAATACCTTTTCATGTGTAAGTAATGTGTTTTTTTGTTAGTGTGTCTAACTGATTTATAGCAGGATCAATTTAAAGAGGCAAATTGAAAAATCTATTTCAAAATTGTTACAATCAAAGAACAAAATTGTTACAAAGAAAAAATTAAAAGTTTGACTTCAATCAAATTTGAAAGTTCGATAAAATCAGTAATAACTAGAAAAATTAAATATGAAATATTATGTTATTTGTAATAATGAAGGATAGAAATGATTATTAAATAAAAAATAATTTTTAATATGATTTGTACGGAAATAATGAATAAAAAATTATGGTATAAATAACTATGCTTGCTTACCGCGTTTGTTTCTTCTTCCTGTGGCTGCATGCAAACAAATATTCCGATTCTGACGTTTAAATATTTAATTTGTTTATTTAATATCACAATATATTTAACAATTAACAACATACATTGATGTTTTAAATATTTTCATAGGTAAAAGGAAAAATAAATTAAGAATGGTATTTTATTTCATGTAGAATGGCATAATTAAGTAATTGATTAAATTATGTGAATATTATTTAAGTAAGGTACTACTCACTTTTTTATTTCTAATTTCATCAATGTCAATTACCTGAAATGGGTTTCATAAAATTTATTAGTAAAGACAGTATTTGTGCACTTTCCTTGGTTAAAAATAAGCTGTTTTAACTTTTAATATACATTAAAATATTAAATTGAAGTGGAGGGTGCTACACTTTCATTGATTGATATTGTGATACATAATTTCAGTTTTAAATATTATTAGTATCCAAGATAGACAAGTACTTGAAAAACAAGAAAAAATGACAAAACCACTCCCATTTTTGTATAAAATTATAGAAATCTGAAGCTTTTGTCAAAACTGTCTAGAACTTGTGTAGAAGCCAAATTCGTAACAGGTAATTAATTTAATGTATTTTGGAAGTAATGGATTTTAAGGGACTGAAATTTAGAATATTTTTTGGTAATAGTCGTTTTTTTGGCGATAATATTATAAATGAAATATTTAAACGATTTTGAACTATCAGAAATGCTAATAGTAGGGGAGCCCATGAAGGGATTTCGGTAGTTACTCGAGCGCGTCAGATTAATGGGGGATATTTAATATGGGGAATATTTAGTAACCTATTGAATATATCCATCATATACTTAATGTAAACAGGGGAGGGGGGGAACTATGTAGAAAATAACTAAATTCAGTCGTTTTCGTCAGATTAGGGGGGAAAAGGTAGATGTCATGTCAAAGAAAAGGCGTTTAAAAAATCTGCCGATTTCATCGTCGTTTACAACAGCAATAGAGTTTTGAACGGGTCCCGTTTCTATCCCCTTAGTTAGCCAACCCCACCACGCAATTCGGCAGATTAAAATATTTTAATTGTCAGAGATACATGGAGAATATACATTATTAATATCTGTCACGCTCGTGCAATAAAACAAAAGTTTCATCTCACAATTTTGGAAAACTATCATTCCCCCCTTCCCCCACCGGAGGAATGAAATGTCATTGAGACATTTTTTCTTTCTATCACCAAATCTTCAGAATCCAGTTACTCCCTACGACGCTCGAGTAACTACAAATTTAGCATCTTGGGCTCCCCTACTATAAACATAATGCATTAGTTGAGACATGCTATTATAATACGTTTATACATATATTATGGAATTAATAATTATGTAAAGAGTAAAAATAAGTAACTTACATTTCTGTATTTCTGTAATATTAAAAATAAATAATAAAAAAAATAATTTAAAAACTTTCAAAATGAATGACACGTTTTTTTTATTTCTGTTTTTAGGGAAATGTGCGCCAGATATGAGGCACGTGGAAAAAGGGTAATGTTAATTCGTTAAAATAAATTAAAAATAATATGGAATATCCTTACCAATACAGGTGGTTCTATTGGTGTTTGCGTCCGCGTGTACTGACAATAAAATATAAGGTTTTTATTTTATAAAGTTTTTATTTATGTTCCAACTTATATGTTAAAACTAACACAGAAACTAGAGAAAATGGCAGCAACACGGCCATCTTGAGATGGTTACTAGCACAATTTAAGTAATTTATGAATCCCCAAGAATATGCGTTCGTGGACCTGTTGCTCATCTATTGTGTATCGGATTAGCATGACTGAAAAATTGAACTGAGCGCAGAGGGCATGTAATAATTTTACTGTTTTTTGGGTTAAGATAAATGATGAAATTATTTCCCGCTCTAGGAGGGACGAGAGGGAATGTTAGACTCTTACTGACTAATAACCACCCCGTTTATTTCTTTCTGCTCTGGGTGAGGGCCACGGTGCATTATTAGACATGCACCCGAATAGCGGCTGATGCCTATGTATGCACCTTATCCTAATTTTCAGCTGGACGCAATGTTTTTTCTATATTTATAAAGGTGGATGGCTCTATATGTAATTGTTATTGCTTACTGTCGGATTTTGGGAATTCCATAGCTGTTGTTGCTGTGGTTCTTGTTGCTGTGGTAAGCTGTCTAACTGTAACAGAAAATAAATAAATAAAGAAATATCATTTTTATTTATTTTAAAAATAGAAGTAAGTAAGTAAGCATTATCATGCTTACAATTTTTACTTCAGTCACTTCAAAATCGTGTTAATAACGTAAGCTTTATCTTATATTTGTGCACCTAATAACTATCGTGAGACTTCGTAGTAATTCGAGACAGAATAGAAAAGTAATATGTGTGCGAACGCCGGCGTTCACTTGGGGTTTGATGAACTAATAAAAATAATGACTTACTCACATGAATTAACTGAGAATAACTATTAGTTACAAGTGACAAAGAGACGGTTATTTTTGTGCACTGTGCGCGGTGCAGCGACAAGATGCACGACGTCACCTAGTCAACTGCTTTGTCTTGAAACGGATGAAGCTGTTCTCAACTACAAGTGATTCATGCAAGTATGCCGTTATCGTAAACTAAATCTGTTAATGAAGAGATCGTGAAAAGTCGTGTTGGCCCGGAGGTTATGGCACCCGCTTCTCATGCATGAGAGTGCGGGTTCGAAACCTGGCAAGTACTAATGTGACCTTTTCCGAGTTATATGTACGTTCTATGATTATTTAGACACCACTAACAAAAGGTGAAGGAAAACATCTTGAGGAAACCTGGATTTCTAATTATGAGTTTGAAATCGCAAATCCGCCTTGAGCATGTTTGGTGATTAATGATCAAAAATTCTACGTGTGAGAAGACATCTTTGCTCAGAAGTTGGTTTTTTTTAAGCTATTCAATTGGCGTAAAATATATGTATAAATTAATTATTTTTTCTCTTACCATGTATGTTCTTGTTGGTCTTGCATAATCCAACATGTTAATCTGTAATTAATATAATAATGTAAAATTTATTAGAATAAAAACTAAATTCTGGAATTTAAAGAATAATTTACTTACCAAGTTTGGATCATCATTGGATATTTTACCAGCTGGCAGCAACGGCATTTGTCCAGTCTAAAAAGTTTATACAAGGTTCTATATTCAATATCCAAAAGTCAGTTATCATTTTAAATTTTTATTTTTTATAATAATAATATCTTTAATGTCATTCATGTTTTTCCGGCCTACCTACTTTATTCTTTTATAAGAAACATCATCAACATAATTAGTTAAGTTGGATATATTTAGGTAGATTATTCACAATAATGCCCGATTCGTGTGATTTGTTCGCGGCGAATAATAAAATAAATAAATACCAGAAAATATCAAGGATAACTACATTATGACGGCTGTCATTGACTGAGTTGTTACGAAGTTTTATAAGACGACGGGTAGGAAATAAGTTATTCATGTCATAAATTTCAAACGTTTTTTGATTCCGATAGAAAGGACACAAAATAATATCTACATTTGAGAGTAATTTTTTATCCTACACCAATGAAAGCAAATCATTATAGTTAAGAAATTATACAAATTATGCATGAAAATTATTCTGAAAGTTGTAGTTATTTGAAAGAAGTATATGTTGTTTCATATAAAAATAATTTTATATAATGAAACTTACTTTATCTTCCTGGTCGAAGTTCGGAGCAGAAATATAGGGCACCTCTCGTTCTTTGGCACTGAATAAAAAATATTATAGAATGTTATATTCGATGTAAAGTAACATAAACTTATTAGAGGTTAGGGAAAAAACTCACGACTATATTAAGGTCGATACTAATATGATAAAGCTGAAGAGTTTGTTTGTTTGAACGCGCTCCAGAATTACCGGTTCGAATTGAATGAGAACTGCGCGTGATTAGCTAGTGTATTATTTAATTTACACCAAGACATTATGCTGCTCGGTTTTCGAAGTTAAGTTTTAATAAAAGTGTAAAACACTCACATTTCGGTGTCTATTAAAGCTTTATTTTTATTAGCTTGTTCTATTTTGTAGTAGTCTTTTATCACACGGGCGACTGGCTTATCCTGAAATGTTCAATGTTTGAATTTACCTAAAGTTAAGTAAACTTGTTAAATATTATTTATGACAATTGATTTCTGTGTGTTAGGCAGCGGTCTGACCAGCTACTGTACAACTTTTAACGATCTAAGCTGAGATGAGTGGAGTGGAGGTGTATGTATACTCTTGTTACTTCAAAATCAATGCCAATTTTTTTTTTTTTATATTAAATTTTAAATATATTGTAATAATGTCTACTAAAAAGGCTGTCGTTTGAAAATGTTTTTCGAGTTCGCAGTGACATTAGAATTCCGTTAAACGAAAAGTTTATTAATTTTTTTTGTGAGACTGTATTTATTCTGTATATTTTTTTATAAAACAGGCACTTATTTCATAAAAATAGTCCTCTTACATATGCAACATAATCGGGTGGGTCATCCATTGTTTCTTCATCAGGACTCGACTGAAATGTAAGTATAAATAAACTAGGACCTTTCAATTTAAAACAATAAATTACCTTCTTGTTGCTGGTAATAAAATATGTCAAATTTTAAGTTTGGGAGAACCAAGCTTTGGTACAAGTGGATCGACCTGACCGGCGTGATACCACGGCCTCACAAAAAAAGAAACCTGCGTGTCACACCACAGCGTTGCGTTGCGCCGTGTGAGTGAGATTACCGGAGCCCAATCCGGATCTCTACCCCCTGTCCCAATCTCTAAATATCCGAAAGGCTCCTCGCCAAAAGGCCGACAACGTACTTGTAATTGCTCTGGTGTTGCGGGTATCCATAGGCGGCGCCCATTGCTTGCCATCATGTAATCCGTCGGCTTCTGTGTCGACATATCCCATAAAAAAACTCAGTATCAGATCATCAGAAATGTCACTAAGATACTTAGGTTATTATGTATAGAATAATGATGAATCAAATTACTGTTAACAAATCAATATTTCTTTATAACTACCTCATCCACATAAGGCTTCTGAATTTCTTCCGGACTGACTTGACTTCTTACCTGAAAATTAACCAAAGTGTACTTACACAAAGTAAATAATCAAAATAATAAAAAATCCTAAGTTCCGAAACATAATATTTAAATTGAAAAGCTTACAACATAAAATACATTATGTTTTAATTATTAAGCTTGAAAACGATGCACTATGAAAACGTTTCGAGTCACATAGATTTATAAATCCTCTGGAAAATCTTGTTCACTTCTATACAGTTAAAAAGTATATTAAGTCTTGACCAAAGAATGGCACTGTACCTCAAAATGTAAACATCGGTCATTAATAAGCCTGAATATGATCGTACTAGCTTCCGCCCGAGGCTTCACCCGCGTCCTATTCCGGGGTGTATCCGAAGCCTGTACCAATTTCATCCAAATCTGTCATCAGCCGTTTTTCCGTGATTGAGTAACAAACATCCAAACATCCAAACATCCAAACATCCAAACATCGTAACTTTCGCATTTATAAAATTAGTAAGATTAGGCTCATATTCGAGCCTGCTAAAGTCATTTCCTCTGATTCCTCTCGCTTCACTCTGATTGAGAGAAACAATTTAATGACTCTATCGGCTCAAAAAATAGACAGGCAGACGGCACGTGGGTCGCAGCTATGTAATCAACAAAGGCTATGGTTCCCTCTCGGTGATTGCGGCTTTTACACTTGGTTCTTAATAACATGGTTTATAATAAGAAATTAGCGACGCACCAAAAGCTGCAGTAATTGACTTGTGAGGCTGGTTCCTTGGCTGTCTACAACATTCTGCAACTAAATAAATAAATTATTTAAAGAAATGTTTTTGTTCTTGAAGAAGTTAGCACTTAGATACAAATTAAGTCCATGATTTTAACTAACATTATTATAGAATAACTATATAAAATTTACACGTCTATATAATGTTTGGTAGCATAATAGAAAAATACATGCATAAATGTTAATTTAAAAATATGTTAAATGTTTTTTTTTTCTACCATTGATTTAGTTAATTAAGCCAGCCACATTTAATGCAAACTGAAACACAAAATAATATAAATACTTCTTACAATTATTATTATCATAAAAATGACTACAGCTGAATCCATTTCATTATTCAAACCATACCTCTATTACTTATAACTAACTAGGAAATTCGTAGTGTCGGTCGCTTCAATAACATTTTAACAATTGCCGTGAAATTGGAATGCTATAAAAATTCCCTTATTTCAAATATGCAGTTCATTTGACGTGTGTATGTAGAAGCGGGTACACTTCATCATACATATACATTTGACTACGCAACTTTTATATTTTTTAGTATTGCAAGTATCAGAGCACTTAAGTCTGTGGGTGTTTGAACTGCACCTAATAATATTTTGAAAGCTGTTATGTTTGCGTTACAAATAAATTTAAGAACGTGTTGATTTATTAGTTATTTTAAACAAACATTTTTATATTGAGAAAAATTTAATTGCTGTGTCCCAGTCACACTTCATTATATTTGCAACCAAAGTTGTTTAAGTTCGAGTCATAACAAATGAGATGTGAAGATTTTAATGTTGTCTTTCACGGTATATATGTAAATTGTTGCGCAAAGTATAAAGTTAGTTCCTAAGAGGCTGACCAGATGGCGTGCATGTAAAACGCACGAACGAACTCTCTTTGAGGTGGAACTTTGATCTAATACATTCAACCCACGAACAACATGCTCCTACACAAATTGCTTTTGCGTTTTGACGCATTAACATGCATAGTGAGACTTTAAATGCATGTGAAGTATCTGTAGTTACTGAAGAAGTATTTTCAAATAATAGAAATAATGCAAATAAAAACGTGTAAAAAATAAGAAGAGGTTCTGAATTAGACAATTTATTTTCAAGGAATAAACAAATAATATATTGTTTGACTTGTGCTTACAGGTCTGATATTAAAACTGGTACTGGTATAATGTATGTTTTTATAATAATATTTGTCTAACACATTTGCAAAAAGGGTTCTTACCTAGTCTAATTAAAAAAAACTCAATTCAGCTGAGGAAAAACCACATGTTTTATGCGGTACTTACTTATTATTAGCGTCACAGACATAATGAAACATGTAAAAAACATTATTACAGTTAGTTTTTAGAGATAATTGACTGCCCTGATAAGCCGAAAAGCGGAGTAAGTTTTGAGAAAAACAACTTTTTGTCAATTGATTTTTCCCACCTTCAAACGGGGTTTAAAACTAATTTTTTTTAAAACTGTTAAAACTTTAATAAACGTATTTTTGACCCTTGATATAACTGACATACCAACAACATCCAAAGATATATTATGATGGAAATCTATACTCCATTAAACTATACATATTTACTTTGACTTTTAAGAAAACATAAATTTTACTATCTATTTAATCGATTTTCACTTTTATTCCGTTGGTAAGATGACACAATGCATGACGGTCTGTAATGATTTTTAGTGCTTTTACAAAAAACAACCCATAAATATTTGGAATACAAACTTAAATCGGTTGAATAGAGTGTAAAAAGGGTTTTTTAAATGTCTAACCTTAACGCGAATAGGGCATACAAAAGATCATAAAAAAGTTATTAAAATATTTTTGTTCTGTCTCTTTTCTAAGCCTAGCTAATTTGAAAGTGGCACACTAGGTTCTGTTAATGACGTCGGCGGATGTGTCGGTGTTCCAGGGTGGTGCAAGTAAACTCGTTAGCTTTTTCATTATAAGTAAATCTTAACGATTTTTTAAATATTTGTTTTGCAACTTGAATGCTTGTAAAATTTATTCATTGATTTAATTGATTTCTAGTCTTGTGAATTTTTCGGTCAATGTATTTTCCAGACACGATCCAGCCTTTGTGTGAAGCTATGTCTCTAACGTTTTTTTTTATTATAAGGGAATAAATAGTGTTCTCTTGTCATAGGTAGGGCGAATGCAAGTGTCAGAGGTGTACTGACACTGCCGGGGCCGCGGTGCATTTTTGCACTTGCACCCGTAACGAATGATTTGACTTTTGTAGGTTATTAGGGATACGGGATGGGGAGGGGAATGATTGGGCTTCCAATTACCTCACTCATAAGGAGAAACACAACACAAGACACAGCAAAAGTTAGGCCTTATTAATATCTATGGTCGAGCCGACCCATTGGCGTTCCCGATACATTTTAGAATTGTCAATATTTATATACTTACACTTGTTTTGATACTTCAGTTTATTGGAAACTTATATGCAAGCACATGAAGGCAATATTTGAGAGCAAAAATGATGTCATGAAATACAATATCAGGCGCATTTTTAATACGTTATTAACCGTATTAAAATGCGCCAGATAATGATGACAATTATATGTCATATTTAATACTCGGCAGTTAGACGTCTTTGACTTAAATAAAATAAATATTTTTTGCTCACTCGCTTATGACTTGGGACACATTCTGTCGTAGAGTTATGAAACTGTGTCTAAACTTCAATACTATTTTGGGTTTAAATTTACCGTGTCTAAATATTTATTCAGGTCATCTGACTTTTATACTATTGGCTCATCATCTGGCCATTTGACTTCATCACACATCATTAGCCTTTAAATGACTACTGCAGTGCCTCTTCTTACACGGAGAAGGTTTGATCAATCATCAACTCTTGCTGAAGGCGCCTTGACGATTTTAAACCTATAATTAGGAATTATAAGTCCAGGTTTCCTCAATATCTTTTCTTTCGGCGTTTGTCAGTGATGTCTGAATAAACTTACAGATAAGTCTGAAAAAGTTACTTTGGTAATAGCCAGGTTTTACACTTTCATGCATGAGAAGCGGGCGATTTAATCTGCTATCACGACAGATGACCTAAATTTTAACATTTTATAACCCAAGTGTAGGAGCCAAGCTTCGGCACGAATGGGTCCGCTCGAACGGAGTGAAACCACGGCCTCACAGTAAACCGGCGTGAAATAACCACAGCGTTGTGTTTATTTCACGCCGACGAAGCTCAATCCCTCCCTACGATCGCTTCCCTCGTCCCCCATCCCTTCCCAATCCCAAACTATTATCCCCAAAAAGCCGGTAACGTTCTCGTAATTCCTTTGGTGTTGCGGGTGTCCATGAACGGTGAAGATTGCATGCCGTTTGCCCATCAATCCAATAATAAAAAACAAAATACCCAAATCTATTCTAGCCTTCTCCACGTTCCATATTAGTTCTTTGTTGTTATTGCATCGTATTGTTTTCGACGCAACCAAAGCTAGGAAGTTTGACAAGAGCCGTGTGGATGTCAAAACCATTCAGTGTTGCCACATTGTTGCAACGTTAAACCTGTACCTCTCACCATTCAGGAAATACAAGTCGTTTCACATATACCTTCGTAGATATATTTAGGTTTTACAGCTACTTTACTGTTGGACGATGAGACTTCATTGTTGTTATGTAATTAACTATTATACATGACGATATGTGAGTGTGATTATTGAAATAATTCAAAAATCTATTCAATTATTTATTAAGATAGCTTTGTGAGGGAAATTTGTTTCATTAATATACCTTTCTTGGCAACAACGGCAAACGAGCAAAAAAATTACCTAGTGGTTAAGCAATTGGTGCTACCATGGTTGACCGAAACACAGAAAAGACGAATATATATTTTACTAGCTACTCTCGCGCATTTTCACCTGCTGCTCTACTCCATTTGATCGTAGCGTGATATTTTATATCCTATAGCACTCAGAAACATTGTAGTATCACTAATCAACAACAACATCAACTATCAGTGAAACTAGAATTTTGGCAATCCGACCAGCGTTTTTACTTACAAGGTTTACCCTTTTATATTAGGTTTCTAATATTTAGTATAGATAAATAAAAATTCCTTATTGTTTATGACACACATTTTTTTTGACTAAAAACCTCCCCGTTCAAGCTACGTGCCTTCTCCCGCGCGCCTTGGTATATTATTGTGAATGCACCCGCAACCCCGCAATTCATGACACAACTGTATATATATTCACTTACTAACGCTACTTACGCTGACCTTATAAAAGTGTATCAAAAATATACACGAAACATAGTATTGACTAAAAATAGAGTAAAAAATTACATGGTCTACCTAACCTTCAATCAGTTACACTACACCTTTCTGTCCTAATAACTCTCATGGGAAATTCAACTCTAAGAGAATTTTGATTACGCAATCATAGCTCGGGGGTAAAACTGGTTCATCATATTTCTTGACTTCGGGCCGTTATTTGTGATCCTGGCCCCTATCAATTACTGTCGATACGAATTTTCGCAAACCTTCCTGGAGCAAGGAAAGCGTTTTAGCCCCATCATAATCCTCAAATAACTCAAGTCCATTGTTCAATTACCCTTCATTTCCTATGATTGTTTTCGTGTATTGTTTCTTCGTGAATTTATTGCTTTCTATTTCTGGTTGATGAAGGATTTATATGTTTAAAACGTGTTTTATTATTAAACGTAGAATAAAATGAGAGTTTTGCACAAATAAAAGTAAATGTAATAAGATATCAGAGTTAAATTACATATAAATTATTCTTTTTATATCTTCGCAAAATTGAACTAACCCATCGGCTTGTAGTCGTCCTGAAAATGTAGAACAAAAAATTTAGGTCTTCAAAGTATTAATATTTAGTCTAATTGTTAATCTATGATCTTTGAAAGCAAAAAAATAATATTTAGAAAGAATTACGATATTTGATCGAGTCACTTTCATATTACGGTCGAAATTCGATTACCGTGGAACATATAAAGCTGCAGGATATTTTGGTATGGGAACTGCTCGTTTCTGTCGCTCAGAACGGATATTGCACCGGGAGAGGGGGATAAGAGCTGCAGCCGGTATATAGGTCGTAACAGGTGAAGGTCACCTTAACGACAATGTTAAATATATATGAACATTTAACTTTTAAAAAGGCATAATAAAATAAAATAAAAATCAATGCCACTTTTCGTTGTAATGTTATAACTCAACAACGCCTTTATCGATTTGGCTAATGGTGTTGAAAAGTGTAAAATCGACAACTACGTGGGCCAAGCCGCGGGCGACCGCTAGTATAGTTATAATATTATTTAAGCTATCGCCGGTGGATTCACCAGCAAAGCCCAAACCATTATCACTACATAGCATAAAACAAAGTCGCTTTCTCTGTCCCTATATCCCTATGTATGCCTAAATCTTTAAAACTACGCAACGGATTTTGATACAGTTTTTTAAAGATAGAGTGAATGAACATAAATATTTATTATATAATATGTATAATAACATCCATTAAATAGTGGAGCTTAGTATTAGTGTTGCCGTGGCGGGTCGGTAGTAAATTATATGCCTATTTTTTAGGAATAATACTAAATAATACTAAATCTACGAATATTGTTTTAATCCGTAGAAACTCGTCCATTAATTATTTATACAGACTGATGAGGAAGAGAGAGAGAACGTTCTTATAATGGAAGCATTTTGTAAGGATAGAAAGCATTATTTAATTTTCTGGTATTACCATACCTGATTGTAGTACCACCATTTTCTTCCAAAGAAGAGCTCGGGCCCAGAAGGTCCCAGATTTGCAAATTTCGGTGCAATTGGATTAATATTCATATGGTCACCGTCCATCTAAAATCAATGCTCATTTAGAATAATGACATCATTTACTTCTAATAATTTAGTTTATTTTAGTTATTATTTCAAATGTGTTTCCTTTTTTTTCAACAAGATGATAACAATTAGGATTGTTATTAAAGAAAAGGTTATTTTTAAAAAAAGTTGCCCCATACTCGGATTTTCTCCTGTGTCGTGGGTGCGTTTACAAACTTACAATTTCAAATACGCATCACACCCAGACCCAGAACCACAATTTGTGGATCAAACAAAGAGTTGTTCCGAGCGGGAATCAAATCCGCGACATGTTGCGTGGCAGCCAGTTGCCCAGCCACCGCGGCAACCGTGCAGTGACATTGATGTATTGCTCCTGAATTATTTGCACCGCTTAACTAAGTTTTTAGCGAATCATAATCTTGAATATATTTTTATAACAATGCATTTTCTCAATATTAATTCGTTTTGTTATGTTTAGCAAATAAAAAGTCGTAAACTTACGTAATGATTGTAAAGCCAATTTTGTTTGTACTTATTTTTGTGGATAGTGAAAGGATTGCCAGGATTCTTTTCTAATTCCGCGTCGGATGAGTCGTCATTGCTTGAGGAGTTTTCATCCTTCCTTCCAGATTTTCGGGTGTACCTGTAGTCTGGGTCCTTTGAAAGTAAAATCAATGCCTCTATCATCTGTTTTCATGTCATTTTTAGATTCGTATAATTGCAAGTGCAAGACATGTACTTTATTTAATTTTGATGTACTTGACTTATGTGATAGATAATTTCTTAAGTTATAACAAGACAATATTTTATGTTGTTTTGAAAAACGACAGACGTGTCTGGTGGTTAAGAAGTTTGCACTTCCCGTGGATACCAAAAACACAACATGGGTCGTAATCCTTCTTGGATTAGGCCTCTGGTAATCTTACTAACATGACGAAAAACTATATTTGGTTGTTTCACGCTGGTTTCCTATAAGGCCGTGGTATCACTCCGGTCGTGTAGACCCATTTGTGCCGAAGCATGGCTCTCCCACAGTTGTCAGAACAAGAATTTATTAAGGAAAAAAATATACATTTGTTTGATTTAACGGTCAAGCTTTCGTACTTACGTCATTTCCATAGTTTAATCGGCTGAAAATAAAAATACATTATGCAGAAATAATTGTCTATAACTTTTGAATAAAATACAGTTGAAGTTAAAATTATAAGACCCTTGGATACGTATCGAGGCTTTAAGGAACTTATATGTCGGTTATGCTTGGACAAAAATTGTTGAGTGACTGTTTCGTTTCGTATATTTTCAATTCTGAAAACATTATCACTACCATTCGGTAGATCATAACGAAAGATCACTATATTATTTATTTTCGAACAGTTATTTTAATAATACCTTACCCATATTTAAAAAAGTTTAAATATAATTTCGAGAGAAAATAATGATTTAAGATTTTTTAAGCTGTAACTGCGAGAATAACTGTAGTTGCAAGCTTCATCCTTGTCCAACATATCATTCATTAATACTTACGCTCTTAAAACGTTTGACGGTTTTGTTTGAATTAAAACCTGTAAAATAATATACAGTAGAAATTAACACTTATTCCATGATAAATAAAAACTATAAAATATATAATGGAGTAAATTTTACATTATTTTCAATAAGTGAAAGTAACTTTTATGATATTAGATTCATCATCAGCCCTATAAAAAGGTCCTTACGGCACGGTGAAGGTAAACTTTGAATTACTATTTATTTTAAAATAATATTTAAAAATAAGTCTTTTATTTTTTACTGTGTGTGTATTTTTTTACAATAACTACCTAAAGCTTTTTATACATAGCATTCTTTACTCTTGGTATGTGCTATGATGTCTATGTGATATATTTCTGTAACATATTATTCCGCTATGTACTATTTATATTATTGTAATTATTATCATACTCACAATGGGTTGAGACCTGTAAATATTATGTTATTTTTGTTATAAGATGATCTTATTTCATGTCTATGGGATGATGGAGAAAGGACATTCTATTGTGTCGACATCCCGAGTAGATTGAGACAGGGGCAATAGAATGTTATATGCGTCAAAAACCAAAATTAAAGGCTCAACGAACCGCATTTGACGTTGAGACGTTGCCAAACTTGTAATGAACATTGTGCGAAGCAACGTTTCCTATCTTATACAATACCATGTATATTTTATTACTCAGTACCTGCACAACAGGGTGCAGCTGGGATTGCAGATGCAAATGCAATAATGCAATCCTTTCGCCCCACCTAGGGCTCTGACTGTACGGTTGGCGCGGTGGCTGGGCAGGCTGCCACGAAACGTGTCGCGGATTCGATTCCCGCGCGGAAAATCTATTTGTGTGATCCACGAATTGTTGTTCCGGGTTTGGGTGTCATGTGTATGTGAATTGTATGTTTGTCAACGCATCCACGACACAGGAGAAAATCCTAGTGTAGGGTAACGTTCTTAAAAAGAAAAAATAGGGCGGATGAACCTTTTTTAATTTTTTTATCCAGAGAACTACGTGCATGTCCACACTTACACCTACACATAACAAATTCGTAGCATTTATTTCGTAGCAGGTGCTACGCCAACTATCTACAGACTACCAACTTCTCGTAGCACCAAGATAATAACATAGTATTATTTAAAGAACAAGTAAAAAAAGAACATAACGTTTTTATTTTGTTATACATACTTACTTCTTTTTAAATCCTCCGTCTTTATTATCATTATTATTTAACGCGTCCATAATTTCTTGCTGAAATACATAAAATTAAAAGTAATATGCCACATACAATCATATAAGTCAAATCACACTACAAGTATCCATGTGTATTTAGCAATTCTATGCATTGTACAAACCGCAATTATCCGTGCTAAATTAAAATAACACTGCATTCAAATTAATTGGAATTTGTAGAACAATATAATGTGGTTCTGATGCGGTCTCTAAAGTGTTATTGCATTATCCTAATTATGTTTTTCATTATTGTTTCATTTTATTCCATTATGTATTTATGTACTAGCTTTTACCCGCGACCGTCCGTTCGCGTGGGATAGTGACTTACTGCAGATTTTTGCTATAAAAACTATCTTATATCCATTCTTGAGTTCCAAACTATGTCTGTATCAAATTGCACAAAAATCGGTTCAGTGTTTTAGGCGTGAAGAAAAGACAGTCAGATAGACAGGCAGAGTAACTTTCGGATTTATAATATACCTATTACTTTGAATATTATTATTAAGTAATTAATGATTTTGTGCGAGTATGGGAGAGCCATTCTCCAGTAGGAATAGGCTAGATCGACCAGAATGACTATGGCAGAAAGCTGGTGTATAAAAATGCTTGTGTTTTGTTTCTTTTCTTTGTGTGAGTGAGTCTATCGGTGACCCGATTCCACCTCCTCACTACCTATCTTAAGATCACTAAATCATTAATAACTCTTTAAAGGCAGTATTTATGGTATTGCGAGTGTCGATAGTAGTGCCATCTCCTTTAAAAAGAATGAAAATCTGGAAAAAAAATATTCGTCAATGTAATGTAAAAAAAATCTCACCAATACATCTCCATCGTTTTTAGTTTCTTTTGTATACACATTTTCTTCAGAGCTCTCAGAGTATCTAGAACGTGATGTTTAAATACAACTCTGTATTACCGAGTCCTTTAAATGTTGTCAAAGATAAAATGATTAAACTAATATGAAGGTAAAATAAAAATCAAAACTTTCCAATACTGACTAAGTCAAATCTCATTAAACCTCCTAACTAAACAGGAAAAGACTAGGGAACAGGAGAACATAAAATGTAATTGAACAGTACTTACTCGCTGCTTGTGTCGCCTTTACTAGTAGGTTTTTCCATTTGTAGAATATCCCTCTGTAATGAAAAATGCACTAAAATAATAAACGTCGTAATTACCACCACTTACAGATGGATTATCTGATGGTAAGCAATGGCGCCATCCATGGATGCTTAAAACACTAGAAGGATTACAAATGCATTTTCGGTTTTTTGGGTTTGTGGCTTTGAGGTTTACGGATTGGGTCTCCGATAAATTTATTCACCAATGAAACACGGCACTTTATTATTTGTTGAGAGGGGAAAATCATAAAAAAGCTTCTCCTGCCCAGGGTCGGCTCTCCTGCCCAGGGTCGGCTCTCTTGCCCAGGCTCTTACTGACTAAAAGCCCCCCGTTCCTTTCCTTATATAGGCCGACGCCGCGGTGCCTCATTGCGCTTTCTGGTCGGCGATGAGCTACCCTTGCTCGCCGTCCGCGGACCCGCGCTTACGGTAGCCGGAGATTGTCTCTCGATACCCTATACGTGAGGAGGAGAATAGCAAAACCACGCGCTTCGCCTCCTTCTTTCTGGAGAAGGAGAAGGCTTCTTAGTTCCTCTCGTTCCGCACCATGGCCTTGTAGGTTTCAGTTATAGTCTGACACACCAGCTCGTCTCACCTAGAGCAACAGGCCCACCCAGGTTCCCACTTCAAAAAAGAGGTTTCGTTGAGGCCGTGGTATTGTTACGTTTGCCGAAGTAACAAGTGCCGAAGTGTCGGACATCTAGTTCAATTATTATACCACCTGTCATATTAAAAATTGTTAATTCTTCCTTACCATTAGGACTTCGAACTTAGCTTTATTGTAATCATTGTCAGTCTCCTTGTCTTTTTGACGCCTGCAATTTTTTAAAATCGATTAATTTCTAGTGCCTTTTCTATTTTATTTTATTATACTCAGTCCTTTGTAATAGTTTAAGTGTTCACTGAATGAAGAGACATTTAGTACAGCAGTTAGTTTTTCTTCGTAATTGTAATTTATTTTTGCAGTGTTTAAGAGGTATTTGGTGTGATATAATTTTATTGTTCTATTTAAATTTGTAATAACTAGTTGATGAACTAAAAATGGTATTGAAATTGTATTTTCGCTTACTTTTCGTTTTTCTCGTAACGATCATTGTTAACTTTGATCTCCCTCAAAATTTGTTTCTGTAAATAAAAGATGGAATTCAAATTAAATTTTCACCTCATAAAGACGAAGCGACTTATTAGTTTTTTTTTCAATTTATTAAGGTTAAATTTGTCTGAGTTCGCAGTTTCCTTCCGAACTTTAAGTCTTTTATTTAATATATCTTCATTTTTTATTGAGTTCATCACATGACCCTGAAATAAGACTTAGTATTAGTTAAAATATATGACAGTCTGCTACGCCCCCTACCACAAACATACTGCTGTTTATTATGTAGTTGGCCTCTTTTTTTTTTGTCAGGGGAAAATCATCCAATGCCTTCCCCCGCCCAGGGTAAGGGGAGAGACAGTGTCAGCCTCTTACTGACTAAAAACCCCCGTTCCTTCTCCTGCTCTCGGCCGAGATAAGTGCCGAAGCTAGGCGCTCGTTTCAAATTGTAGATTGTAGATGGAGAATAACGAGTAAAAAACAGCATCGTCACTTTTTAAAAATTAATATTTGTTTAACAATTTCACTAATACATTATTTAGTTAAGTAATTTTAAAAAAAGTACTGATAGTGGGATCTATCCCTAAATTTTAAATCATTTATCGTCTCGAAAAAAATTACCAGTAATTCTTTTACGGGAGCTCTTTCAACATAATCCTCGTCGTTGTATGTCTTCCATAGCCCCGACTTGTCGTTGTAAGTTCTAGAATGAATAAAAATAAATAATTATGTTTGTTTAAGTGATATTAGCAATGTAGTACAAGTCGAAGGCGTCACACGGAATAGAGGGTCTGAAGAAAGACGTAATTTGAATAAGTTGGAGGAGGTCATAAGTCAGCTGGCAAGCAAATCTTCAAAAAATAAGGTAAATTCATCTTAAGGAATTAAGGCAACTTAAATAAATTTATGTCGATAAGAATTATTTTTTAATTTTGTAACATTAGTAATTATAATGGGCATATTATAATTTGTATAAAGTTTCAATCATCTACTAAATGGTCCAAATAAAGATAAACATTTACATAATTAGATGTGAGCCTTTCTTTAGTTATAAAGAAAAGTGGCATTGATTTTGTATTAACACTAGCTGTCGCCCACGGCTCCGTCAGCGTGGATGTCGATATTACACTAAATCAAGATTTTTTTTTTATTTTCTCTACGTTCTAACCTTTTCAGGATTTCCAAAAATAATTCAAGCCAAGCCAACCAATTTAGCCAAATTGGAAAAGGCATTGTTGAGTTATTAACATTAAAACGAAAAGTGACATTTATTTTTATCTATATATTAAAATTATATTATGATTTTGGATATATTAAAAATATATTATGGGATATAATTTTTATTTTAGTCAAGAATTAAATATTTCTTGGATATATTATTAACCACTCTAGTCTCAGGCTCAGTGTCAGGCTCTATTCCTTAGCCTGCTCCAAGTACTGGCTGTGGTATATTATTGCACTTGCATTCCCTACCCTGACAATAGTTCGCTCGTATCATAATGCTATTTTCACTCACCTATGACTTTCTCTATATTTATTGAGATTCTTGACAGCTTTTAATATTTTAGCCTGTTAAGATAAATATAAATTAACAATTATGGAGATAACTCTATAGGTATGAACAAAATACAAGAATTTAGTGTGCTGGTTAAAGGTCTAGTGAACTTTCTACAGTCTACTGAAGACACTTCTTAGGAAATATAAGTAAACGCAATAGTTTACTTACAGTTAAATAATCATCCCTTGTACTTTTCCCTTTATATTTACTGTAAATAAAAAATATTATTATTGCTAGAAACAAAACCTTGATAGTTCTAGACAAATATAGCACAACATACCTGTTATTTTCACTTCCTAAATCAATGAGAACACCGGCAGGCCACTTCTTAGGGTTCTTAAATAAGGAGCTGGATAATTCTTTGGGTTTTTGCAGATAAAATCCAGGTATGACAGGTAAGGTTTCCATGGACTCGTCCTTTTCAACTGCATTTAATAAATTGGTTGTCCTTTCCTGTGTTTAAGAAATATAAAAAATAAATGCATATACTTTTAATAATCATTTATTGTTGCTTCAATAAGGACCTAATATACCTAGTTGTCACAAGTGGACTAATAAATTTATTTCTTTATTTCTTTCTTTTTATTTATATTGGTAACCTTGACGCATTGGAAAGAATTAAAAAACGTTTGTGAATTTTGAATATTAAAAGACATCACAAATCCTCATTGTCAACTTTAATCTGATCTGGATCTGTAATTAGACTTTCTTTATTTAGCAATTGCCATCTTATGGCTAAAGTATGTAGATGATAACTTATTACAGGTAAAAAGAGTTGTACCTACATTTATAATGTAGACCAAATAACTCTAGTTTTCATCTGTATTAAACAAAATGGCTGTATTTTTCTATGAAATTGTAAGAAAAAAAATTACAAGACATCCGAATTTAATATTAAAATAAATAAAAGTATTTAAGTAGATTAATTAAACATTCGTTGAATATAAGTTTTGGAGACAATATTATGGAACAAAGTCACTTCATATCCAAGAAGTTTTGACACAAAAACTCGACGTGATAAAGGTTAAAGTGGCGTGCAAATAAATTATAAATACTTTTTATTTTTCCTTAATATAATATATTTTGTGTTGTAAAATTTAGGTATTATATATTATATATTAGCTTCGACAGCATTTGGTTGGTATTAATTTTATTTATTTATAACCTTTCATTTCATGAGCTTAATAATTCGAAGGGCATTTTCTAACAGAAAAACCAAACTATTTGTGATATTATTCTAGACTACTAATTTATCTTCGTGCCAATTCTCATCAAAATCCATTAAGTAGTTTAAAGAAAAACAAACGATTCAGACTTATTATAAGCTTTAGCGTTTATAATTTTAGTAGGAAAATCATGAAGTAAGATTAAAAATGTTACGTTATTCAGTCGTCATTTAAGTTATAAACAATTACCCACATGTTTCATCTATATCTCAATGACTTATGCAAGAAATAAAAACCATTTTTCAAAAATATTCTTCAACAAAAAATACCTAATAGGACTTTACTTTGTTTTATCGTTCATTAGCGTCAGAATACAAATTACGTCGAGTACAATTTTATAACCATAAATAAACGATGGTTGTTTTTAATAGGATCGTTAGCGATGATTTTAAGTCCCAGTTAAAGCATTATTTCATTCAATAATCCGAGAAAGAATGGTAAAATTTTCTTAAACGCTGAAATTTCTAGACTCGTAGTAGTTGGTATTTATAGATTTTTTGATATAGGAAGTCAAAGTTATAACTATTGATTAATTCTAATTTCCAACCCACCTAGAGCAAGCAAGGTATTTATGTATAAAACTTTTTTCGTGTGAAAAGGAGGTAACTGTTCAGCAGTTGGGACTAATAATAGTGATAATGATGTATAGATTAACTAAATACGTTCCTTTTTGCATATAAATACCCAGCCACCAATGGTTTTTATGATCTTAAACAAAATTTGTACCAACAAACCTTAAGATATTACACAGACATTTACCTATCAACACTTAGCAAGCACTTTATCAAGCCTTATTCCTTATCCAAGTAAATCCAAAAATAAGCAAAGTTCACTAAATTGTGGCCCACAGCGTACCAGTCATTTGTTCTGCAGATAAAAGGATCTAATGCTTCTACACGGACTTTCACTTCGGAGCTTTTAAATGCATTTCAAGTGTTTGCGAAAATATTATTGCGAAACCAATTTTTTTTATATCTACGTACCTAAACACAGTATTAAAGAAATTTATTTTTTATGTAATTGGTCGGCAAGTGAGCAGACGGATTACCTGATGGTGGGAAGCAATGAGCACCGCCCATGGACACCCGCAACGGAGGAGTTACGAGTGCGTTGCCGACCTTTTAGGGATTAGGGATTTGGAGGAATTTTACTAATATTATAAACTACTTTCCTTTTTCGACATCGCCCGCGCTCTGGATAAATGTAGCTTATATATTATTCCATAGTATCACTTATATACATAACACAGCTAA